CTGACCGAAGATAGGTAATCCGTGGGTTAAAATTTGCTAAGAATAAGGCAACGTTCAAAACATCTCTTCCTTAGTAGTTTTTTGGTGTGCCATGTATGACCAAAATTAGCGGACAGCGCCCCTAATAGGCGCAGCTTGCCCTCAGCTTATGATGCTTACTACTCAATTCCGAAATGCCTTGCAGACTGACAAAAACGTAGAGAAAAGGGCAGTTGCAGCAAAAAAATACAATATGGTTGAGAAACGATCCAAATGCCGAGAAAATGGATAAACACAAGCGAGGAAGGGGAAGTCAAATAGTTACAACAGGCGAGGGGTGCGCAGAATGGGCGGAACCAAAAACAAAAAATATCGGTTGCACCGCTGAACCCTGTGTGACGCACTCATAACTGTGTGGAGCCAAACTTAATGAACTATGGGTTCGTCAGGAAAAGGTGCAGCTTGAAGATATTAGTTGATAGGTTGCCAGATAGGGTCGAGCTTATGATTTTAATTTTGCTTTTACTTTTGCACTGGAACGTATTAAAACTAATTTGTAAGGTATTCTCCATCCTTCCTGATTATTTTTTCCCAGTGATCTGGCAGCTTTTGATCATTTACATCTTACCAGGGCAAAATGAATCAGGCTATTAAGAATCACGAAAAAAGGGAAAGAAAGGAAACACCACAAAGCGAGTTGGATAAGGACGGGAAGAAAAGTATTGTAAAGTGCTCTGCATGAAAATTTTGGCGAGACTTGCGTTCAAACGTTCTCACTCTGCGAGCGACACGAGCCGTGCTCTTGAAACCTGCCGATTTTGCGTGCTCCAACGACAACATCTATGAGCAGTCGCCTGAACCAACTTCCGAGTTGTGAAGCAATTATTCAAAGATAAAACTCTGTCTTCAAATGGTCAATTGGACGAACGGTAATACATAGTTCCACCCGTTTTGGCTGCAATTTGTGCCACGACATTTGAGGGCAAGACTGGTCGAAGATGTTCGCTTTTTTGTCGTATTGAACGCCATCTTTAAGAGCAGGGTGAAAGTCATGTAGAATTGCGTGTATCTTCATTTTATAACAATTCTATAGAGCAAGTATAAAGCAATTAACTAATGACGTAGCATAGCACCGATCTTAGTTCCATTGGCGCAACGAGGTGGAAAAAGCGCATAAATCCATTCTAGGCCGCGTTCATAGTTCGCGACTCGGGAGATTAGGATAGTAGGCGACAGGATATTAGGATAGTAGTAGAGTAGGAGATTGCGCTGACAAGATATACGTATCGATTGAAATCGCTGGAGAGTAGTAGATTGGGCGACTTCAAGCGAATAGATCAATACATATCTAATCTTGTCAGCGCACTATCCTAATCTACTACTATCCTAATCTCGCCTCAATACATATGTTTTTCATTGTCGCGTACTATCCTAATCTCCGGAGTTGGCGAACTATGAAACGCAGCTTACCCCCTGATAGCAATGATTTGTAAAAACAAGACGCAAATATAAAAATTCTGACCTTTATGATCAACTTCCATTTCTTCATCTTTATCGTCGTCGTCGTTTTCATCATCAGATTCGTTTCGCCTTGCTCTAGAGCGCCTTGATCGCTTAGTGGGTGTCTTCTGAATGTAGCCTGCCTATTTGCTGACTAGTTGAAAAAGGCGTTAACCGCCAAACTGGCGAGTGTGTACCTTTGGAGGAGAGTCACCATTTCGCTTTGGTTTCTCCTCGCTATCTGTATGTTGAGTGTCATTCGAATTTTCCTCCTTTACCTCTTCTGCGGTATCCGGAGGGCTCTAGATACGAAAGCGGCCAAAACATTTACGGTCAATTCACTTCGGCTAACATAAAGCATATGTGAAAAAATATGGAGAGATTGTATTACAAACTAAAACAACAATGAAACATAGAGACAAGAATGATCCAGGTCTCCTATCACCTCGTTTTACCGCATGACTATCGTCACAATCAGGCCAGTCTAAAGTTCCTCACTCACACAGACCAAGAAACTCGGTTTCTCTTTTGCTCAGAACCGGCCGTAACCCTATCCTTTCCCCTAGGCTGGTCGAAAACCGTTCAAATTTTTTTTACCCTTCTAACAATCGCCCTGAGGAAGTATGCAGCCTGCATATTTGTAACGTAAATATATGTGCAACACTGAACATGTGCGGAAAGTATAATAAATTATTTGCCGTATGTTCTCACATGATAACTGCCTTTAACGTTGAAAATCATATTAGATGAAGAAGTCGAGGGCAACAGGTGGCTGTGCTTACTTTTAATGAATCCTTCCCGGGAAAACCTTGCATTCTTATTCGCTAAACATAGTATCTGTCACTTGTGTATCACTTAAGACAACCATCGTTTCACGCACCAAAGACAAAGTTTTCGAGGAAGAACAAACAATACAACATCACGGCTCTATGGACGAATTGAAGGTAACGGTCGCGTAGAGAGACAGGGGCATGGAAAATTTTCGCCTTGGGTAGCAGCTATGTGTAATAGGCGCCGCGCAATGAGCAACCGTTGAGCGCGCGATTTTTTGGGAGAGAGAGAAAGATTACCGATCGATGAAATGGAGGCAGCAGATAGTGTGAGATTTTAATAGCATACAAGTCAACGCGCAGAGAGGAGTTGTGATGGCACTACATTGACAATGAAGTTACCCACCGGCCAGCACTTGTGTGGTCGACGGACTACTTGAACTCAGCCCTTTAAACCGCCTCTGCGTCTCTCGCGGGTCCCTCTCCTCTCCAAGGCTTAGTCCTAGGGCATTCACCCGTTCTCTAATCGTCTGTGCTCTAGCCATCGCGGCAGGACCATTGAGGAAAAATCAAGTAGTCCGTAAACTCCTGATGCAAATGGAACTCGATCCACGGCGGGGGCTTTCGCAACCCTTTCCAGTTTCCTTCGAATTTTTCTTACCAATAACAACCGCCCGCAAATCAAAGCCTCGATGAATCAGCAGAGGTCCATAATGATTTGTGATCCCGCATTGAGTTGAGATAATAAAAGCAAGGCAAATCGTCGATGACACCTCAACAAGGAATCTCCATCATTGTGAAACAATGAAGGGCGGAGGCCCGATCGAGTTGCACGAACTTCCTACTCCAGGCTCAACTATCCCGGTGTATTTGAATTAGCTGCTCCCGGCTGGGCGATCCGATCCACTTGCATGACATGGGTACGTGGCGTAACTTGTCCAAAATGCTAAGGTTATTCGCCAAAATGCTGACTTTGTAAGACCATAGCGCCATTGTCGCCCATTTCCGTGCGCGACAATGGCACATCTGTGTACTCTGGGGTACTCTATCCCACCCACTGAATAGATTCGTCGACACACGACTTCTGGGTGTTGCTTTGAGCTAAAATAGCGGAAAAAGACCGGATGAGGTCCCGTCTCGACCAACCGTCTCCCCATTCTTCGAGTGACCATTCGATACCTGGCCACCCTCATTTCCGCAAATTACTTAATTCAAACTATTTACAAAGCAGAACAGCGAACCGCGATTGATAAATGAAGAAAAAACGCTGCAGAAATTGATCCCATGTTTGAAAACGTACAGTATCCGACTGGGTGTAAGAGTGTGCATCAGATTGCGCTTCTGAAGGTGCATCGATCTCTATTTCGTGATCTAAGATCGACTCGTCAATCTCCTCATCGTCAACTGCGTTTGCACCCTCAACGGGCTCGTCCAATATCGACTCATCGATGTCTTCCACCTTCTCATCAGAAGACATGGCTGAAAAATATTTGCTATTACCATATTCAAAGACGGAATTCAACGGAATGCAGGCGATAATACATGCTTCTTCGCGGTGTACGAATCAGAAAACTAAATAAGTTTAAAATAAGGAAGAAGTTGAAGGAAGGATAAAGGTGCAAGAAGGTGCAAGAACGCAAAGCAACGATAAATGGCACCCCAAAGAAAGAAGGAAGGATAACAAAATGTGTGTGTATAAGAAGTGACGATGGGCTCTTGCTTGAATGACTGAAACTCGAGAAACGCTCTTATTTATACTTTGTCAGGTACATAACTATTGTGCCGCTGGCTGCACATCGGTGGCAGCACCCACGCACTGGTTCGGAGAATGCTATTACTCTCGATTTTAGGCATTTTGCTAAGTTACAAATCAACACACTTTTTCGGACACAGGATATATCACTTATTTGCAAACTTATTAAATTTTTGATAGATTATTGGCCACTGATAAAAGAGATGACAAAAACCTACGGAGATGCAATTATAACGGCGGTCCGCAATGGGTTAAAACAACTATTTCGCTGCTCCAAAGATGAAAATATTTGCAAATCCACTTATGGGAGAGCTCAAGTGCAGTTAAGAGGTGATGAGCGGCATCGCAGCGCAGAACACCCAAGACACTTAAAACCATAACAATTTCCATGCTAAATCAGCTCCCTCTTGCATGAACAAATCGAGTTACTTGCGCTGGAGCCTCCTCTTCAAGAGAAAAAAATGGATTGCTTTGTCCCCGACCCTTCATTCCCTCCCAACATCATGCGCGTCCTCCACCGCCCTCTTTCGCCCAGTCTTCAGTGGCCCTGAGTTACTACGGCTTACTACAAGAAGCACAAATGGATGAGAACACAAACCATAACGAAAAAAAGACGCCTTCCATCGAAAACAAGGCGTCAAATGCAATGTAAATAATGAGCGTAGACTCTGCGGTAACGTCCGCATTTACGACTGCTAACGGCTTCGAGCGGGAAAACGAAATTTTTAAATAGGTGAGAAGCAACTTCGTCTCGGATACTCTGCCACGGAACTACGTTTCATGTTCCTCCCATCTAAATGCCACATTTAGCCGAGCCTAATCATTGCAATGATCTAGAAAGCGCCGGAATGAGCCACGGCGCGAACAACGCCGTCCTCACCCGGTCTCTCTTACCCCCTCGCTTGAACTTTTGTCTTTATTGATTTCTCCTGCTGTTTTTTTCGCTTAATTATTGTACCGATCGTTGTAAATAAAATATATGTTCCTTCGGAAGATGTCAAGTTCGTGAACTGTTCAGTTGTTCAGTTTAGGAGTCCACCGTGATGGAAGGAGATCACGTCACCCCGGCCAGAGTGCTTGGAAGCTCGCGATCGAACATCCCAAGGCCAACACCGAAAGGTACCCGATATAATCACTGCTTTGTTCTTCCAGTTTTTTTTCATTTCAATGGGAATCTTGGAAAAATTTCATGAGAGTGGCGACACTCAATCCGTAGGCAATTCTCTCAAAAATGAAGGACCCTTTCTGTCGAATATGGTAGCTAGCGCTAATCAAACTAAAATTGCTGCCAAGTTGGAAGTAATTCTCGAGCAGATTTTTGACACTGTAAGGATATAATTATCCACGTGAAGTGAGCGTCCCACACAGCTTCCCTTCTAAAGCTGTCCTTAGGCTAGGGTGGGCTCTGACTACTGTTGACTACACGATCCTATCTGCTAACAGCATCGTTGTGATTATTTGATCGTTTTGGTCACAATATGGCATTGGTTTTCACAGTCAAAGCTACTTACTGTCATTGGCGCAGCAAAGGCCTAGCAGTCTCTTTGTTGAAGAAGTTGCAGCGCAAAATTCGCGTTAAATGGTGCCTATGACAAAATAAAAATCATCAGGTGATCCGGCTGTAAAATAACTCTCGAATGGAAATTTTTATTCTCGAATGCAGTTTTGTAGAGGAAACATGGTAGCCAAACGGCCCCGGCGTCAAAAGTGAATGTTGATCACGACGATTCGCCTCTTGCATCAAAACTCCTATAGGAAGAAGTACGGTTGGCCTTTTTTCCCAGGCGAGGGGAAGTGCAACAGTACTTTTCCCGATACACAAATCACCCTTATTTAATAATCAGGTGTTCATTTGTGTATAGTAAGGATACGCTGAATGCACTACCAGTGACAGCAACCGCAAAATCTATTCCATATTGGCGAGAAAAGTTGAAATTTCGCTTGAAAAATTATTGGGCGTTGGTGCCCACAACTATCGGATCAAAACGCCCCATCGGAAGTGATATTTCAGCCTTACCATCGGCATCCGCCACTATTCAAGCAGCTCGAAGCCTCAAACGGAAAAGCATGGATCATCTGAACAGGGCCCCCTCTGGCACGGCTGCGAAGAAACCAGCTTTCTCTTCCACGATAAAATCTCGTTATGCAGGTGAGCTTTTAGAATGTACTAATAGGTAACACCGTGCAGAATGTTCACGTGCAGTATAATATATAGTTTGTACCACTTTGTCTTTGAGTAACGAAACCGCTACCCGATTCATTGGCAACCGGCAGAGCGACGATGGCAGTACCAGGAGGCCAGCCTCGTTATTTGCAACCAACAGCCGCTAGAAGTCTTAGAGTAGCATCAAGTGCTCGCCCAGGCCCTTCAGAAAATCACTCAACGGCTATCAGTCAGGCTTGCTTTTAGATTCGGGAATAAATGCACTGTGGGCGTTCATATTGCAGTCTTCCAGACCGTCGTTCCACATCTAATCCTCGTGAAAGTGCAGAGGTAGCCGAAATGAGGTCGAAGATTGCCCAGAATGAAGGAGAGCTCGTAAAGCTTAAAGCTGAATTGGAACTAACCAAGGTATCGAACGACGACGAAGGGCTTATTATACTTATTACTACTGCCGCATTGTAATCAATTCTTTCCAGAGTCAGTTGCAGCTGAAAGATCAAAATTTAGAAATGGTTCAGGTTTGTTGAATCTTTCACAATAGCAAGTAATATGCACTTATATCGTGGCATCAGTTAGTCATTTCAGAGCTCAGTGGAGTGTTTCAAACAGACTATTGCTCTCAAGGATGCACAAATGAGCGCAATCCAGATGGCACTCGAAGCAGAGAAGGGCAAATCGGCAATGATGCAAGTATCAATCGATGCGGTAAGTTTTACATCGCGGAAAGTGGAAGGGATCCGAGACCTTTTTACACTTAAAGGCTTACCGCGGCGAGTGTGGACGAGTCGGTTGTGCTCACGCAGGCCGCGCTCCTTTTAACGCAGCGCTCGCGGCAGCGGGAGCAAGATCGTCGTTGTTCACACTCGCGCGTCCACGCCTTCAAGTGTGAAAAAACGTCTCGAGGCCAAGCGAAGGGAAAGCGTTTATAGTAAATTGATGAGTAGACGATGTCGCCAGTTTAGTAGTAGTGGCGATCAAGTAAGATCTGAGTTTTGGGCGTATAAACGACTGCTCTAGCTTGAAATCTGGCTTTCGAGCACCTAGTATGTCGAATAAATTTTAGAAGGGACCGTAATGCCCACCTGAAACATGAGTTATGTGAGAGGATGGAAGACATTGGCCGTCTAACGTCGCAGCTAGCTGCCAAGCGTGATGAACTTCGAGAAAAGGATGAAGTCATGAGACACCTCCACAATGCTGTTGTCGATTTGAAGGTATGAAATCATGGAATTGCAAGCATCGTATATTCTAGTTGTCAATTTTTTGCAAAGCTTCGATTACTCGTAAAGGGTTATATGTTGAGATGCACCTTACTAGTTCTGTCTGTATATTTACAAAGACTTAAGCTGCGAACGATGTGCGCGAGCAGCCAGAAGCTAGTTTTTGAAATGGCGGAGCCATCTGAGCCTCATCGTTCAACATGTATTATGAATTAGTCGATACACTTACTTTGTGTATGTAGAATGACTGCATGGCGCGTAAAAGGTAGATGGCACACGATATTATGTACTGATGAAGAGCAGAGCTGCCTAAGGAGGAAGTGAACATCGTGCTCTCAATGGAGTAGCGCTTTCATGGGGGAAGGATGCGCCGGCAGCGGCCTGGAAAGGCCTCTGAAGCCCTTTTCGTCGCCTCGTCCTTCCCGTACACCGATTGGTTAGCCAAGTTGTTGTTCGCTGCTGCTGAATCAGGGCCGTTTTCCCGCTAGAGGGGCGAGCGAAGCGTTCATTACTGATGATGTCAGCGCCGATTTGACTCGCCCAAACCGGGAATCAACGGAAAAGGGGGAGGGGAAGGGGAGGAAGGAGGAGTGGAACGGGAGGCTTCCTTTGCAAGTTTAGTTAGCTTCCCTTATTTTTTCCTTGCCCTTCTTAACAGCTCTTACTTCCATTCCCACAGGCGGCCAACTTATCGCATTAATCGCCTTTGAACGACTGTAAAAAAAACGTTTCCATAAAGCGCAAAAGCTCTTAGAAATTGTGACAATGTGGAAGGTGCGCATGTCCCATCAATTGGTACCCTCGCCTTCAAATGACCAGAAATTGTGCAATTGCAGAAATTGACGTGGCATTAACGTGGCATCGATTCAAGAACATCTTTGAGCACACGTGATGTCACCTTTTCATCGAGAATTTAGCCACGTGTGCCAATGCCACGTCAATTTCTGCAATTGCACAATTTCTGGTCATTTGAAGGCGAGGGTATATTAGTACGTCAACAACAGCGCTAGTTTTCACTTTTTGGCCGCGTGCGACCAGCGCGATTTTGCGAGTGCGGCCGCTTCAGGTCATTCGAGCAGATTATGTTTCAAATCATTCGAGCAGATTTTGAGTGATAAATACATAAATAGTGAGTGATACAGAACCAGATCACTCAATTTTAGTGAGCAGAACTACTCAGAGGTAAAGTGGTGGAATTTCAGCCGCGCGGTGGCATTTGTGACATGAGAGACCCTTGCAGGCTTGATGAGCGCGATCTATCCATGTGAAATTTCTGATTGAATGCTCCGTGATGACGGCTATTTATCATCTCCCTACAAAATATCATGACTTTGAGAACGAGTGAATCAATAAAACACATTCTAGTGCTGCATGTTTATAAACTGCGCGATCAAAGTATTTTGAAGGGTCAAATTCGTGTTGCTGTCCGTGTACGACCTCCTCTCGGCAAGGAGCTAGATGTGCCAGTAAATCATCTTTCATATCCCGGAGTATCTTCAATAAAGCTAGATCAGGTAGGGATGTTTTCATTTCATGATCTATTGTCACATTGCTCAAATATCACCATTTAACCACTTTAGGGCAAAGGATCGCTGAGCTTCGAGTTCCAGCGCGTGTTCGGTCCAAACATGAGCCAGGCACGCGTATTCAACGACGTGGAGGAACTTATTTTGGTATTTTCGGCCTTTCTGTTTCTGAAAACTACAAAATGTAACCTCTACTTTTAGTCATGCCTCCACGGTTACAACGTGTCCATCATAGCTTACGGCCAAACTGGTAGTGGCAAAACACACACGATGAGAGGAGGTAGTTTCATTAGCGAGAATTAATTTGTTTGAAATTTCATTGTGTAACCTTCACTGTTCAAAATACTTCACTTTTTTGTAGAAGGTACTTCTATAGTTCTGTATTATCCATAGATTTCCAAGTAATCGCTAGAATCTAGCCAGTCATAAGTTGGTGAATTGTTGGAGTAGGCAAATCGATTCTCTCACGTCCGTTTGCAAGTTCGCGACTGGCTTGACGTCCTGCAGAAGCAAGGGTCACAAGTGTCGCAGGGTCAAGGGTTTACATCAGTTCTCGCCTCAGAATCGGTCAGACTAGGATACACCTGATTTGCTCGTAACAAACCCTAAGCTTCAAAAAGCCAATGTGTAATCATGAGCCAAAGCCTGCCTGAGCGTAACCTTAGGTTCTACTCATCGCGCGGCTCTGATGACCTTACCTACCTAGACGGAGAAGTGAGCGTCACCCAAGGTTTAGTGGTGTGATTCCCTCAAATACCAGCCGGGTGTAAGGAGGAAATTGGGTAGAGAATATGTTCCGTCCACACGCTCCGTTTACATTCTCCCTCCATAGCTCGTGGATCTCCCATGTCTGCCTTCATCACCATATGCCACGAGCGACCCTTTTCTCGCGATTCCTGGGATGTGTGGAATCGGAGCAGAAACTCCTTGACACCACCCATTTCGGTGCATGCCCCTCCCTCTACCATCATGGGCAGAGCTCCGCTTCGCTACTGTATGTTTTGTTCCTCTTTGCACATGACCCACTCAACCAAATTATGACCCTGCTTGTCCAGGTAATACCGAATTTAGTGACAGACAAGCAGACACAGGCAAGTAAAGCCAGTGAGAGTGAGTAGGATACCCACATCTTATGCTTCGTATATTCATGCTCTCTTTTTTACAGGTGAAGGCGAGTCAGAGGGCATAATTCCCCGAGCCGTTAAGTTCCTTTTTCAGTCGCGAAATAAATTGGCAGATTTGGATTGGAAGGTGACTAGTTTGTTAAAATCAGGACGCCAACTATCTCCATCACAAGATAATTACCGGTCACGTTTTAGTTCGAATTCAAGGCCTCCTTCCTTGAAGTGTACAACGAAGAAGTTTACGATTTGCTCGGTGAGCGGAAGAAATTGGACGTCAAAATGGGATCGGGCACCACTTGTGTCACCGGCCTCAATTATCGTGAGATTAATGCTATAGAAGATGTCAGTTCACCATTTCGCCTGTCTGTTAGGCCTGAGCTCGAGCAAGAATTACTATTTTGTGTTTAGATCGAGCACATCTTGGCCGTGACGGATAGGACCAGATCGACAGCAGCCACGAAGTGCAACGAACAATCTAGCAGAAGTCATGCCGTGTTCGAGCTCACTATACAAGGGCATAATAAGACTTCAGGTAATAAAAATTCAGGATACTTTGTCAGACTGTTTCACCATCACTATCTTGTTTTGTTGTTATCAGGAGCGTCTCGCAACGCATGCCTACATTTGGTGGATCTCGCTGGCTCGGAACGCGTCAAAGAGTCTGGTGCTGAAGGTGATCGCTTCAAGGAAATGACACACATTAATTCGGCGCTGTCCAATCTGCAAAACTGCATCCGATGTCAGCTGAACAAGGTAAGTATGAATTTGATCGAGATTTCCTGAAGGCGATGATGTGGAAACTTTGATCAGAAAAGTAAGCATGCTGACAGCATGCATCCGAATGTTGATACTGCGATTCTGAGCCTTCCTTATTAATTGTTCCATTGAAATTTGAAGATCCATTTTCAGGTGGGAAAGTTGATTCATGATCAATTTTATTACATTTCAGAACCCGCATATACCGTATCCGTAATTCGAAGCTTGACTATGATTTTGCGCGATAGCCTTGGAGCTGGAAATTCGAAGACGATGGTTATTGTAGCACTGAATCCTGCTGTGACACAAATTGCTGAAACTAAGCGGAGTCTAGAGTTTGCACAGCAGGTGTGGTGTTTCTTCACATTGTTTACGAAATTCTTTTTTTTTCAGTTTATTTTGAAGATTCGTTCCAATTTTCGAGCGACGTTATTTATTGTTTTTAATTGGGGCGGAAGTGGTGTAGTGGCAAGTGGCACGCTTACCACGCGAGCGGTCCGGGGATCAAATCCTGGGTCGTGAGTCGCCCGGGCCAACCAAGCCTTCCATCCCTCCGGGGTCGGTTAATTGGTACCAGACTTGTCTGGGAGGATAAAAACACTGACTTGTACATCGGCTGGCCCCCGCAAGTCATTGTATAGGCCACATCGCATTCAAACGCCACTACGAATGTACAAATGGAAGTAGAATGCGTCCCAAAAAGGGATTGATCAACGGCAAATGCTTTATCCTTTTATTTATCCTTTAATAAGGCATGCCCTAAAATAAATGTGTACTTTGATTTTTTCATCTTAATTCTATTCAGATGACGAAGTTATTACGGATAGGTTCTGCGAAGAAGCAGGAGCAGTGAGATTCTATGATTCCTGAATTCGATCGTTAGCCTCGAAGATCTCTATTTTTCTTGCAAGTTCTCAAAACTAGCTTTTGCTCAAGAGATTTATAATAGTGTTGGTGGAATGGAAGAAATATCGTCAGACCGACGTCATAGTCGGCGACGGACCAAGCGATGGAGCGATCGCGATCGCTCCATCGCTTGTCCCTCGCCGACTATGATGTCGGTCTCATCGTATATGAATGACCGTTTAATATTATTCAGATGTTGAAGAGCCACTTGTTTTATGTAAGTATTTCCATGTGATCGCTCAATTCTTATCACTTATCGTCGTTTGTCTCCGTAGTTCATATATTCGCGATGACTTTCTAGTAGGCTATATTCAATGAAAGTAGAAAAGATTTTCCTCTATCTACTTTAAGCTGTCCAAAACGCATTTTGACAACGATGTCACATCAGTAGCGCTCGCGGCGACAGTCCTGCCGCTCTGATAATCTGCGACATGAGCGGTCTTAAAGCGGCTAACTCCAGCTGGCTTTTAATTTAGTGGCAGCAAAGAAAGAACATTTTGAGGTATGGAACGCACCGATTCTGAATTGTATTCAATTTTTTTCATGTGTCTGCGACTCTCATGATTCCCTGGTTCTGTCCTGGCAGCACTGCTTTGGCGCAACGCCTATTATATCCTAGTCTCGCCAGTTTTTACATATGTGCGAAGATATTCAAGCACATCATTCCTTACAGTATCGTATATTTATTTACACGTAGTGTGTTTAATTGATCCTTCGTATAACTATTTGAATCCATCTTACCAAGTTAATATTATCCTTCTATTTTATAAAGCGCTAACTTTGTGTGTCGGTTTGTGTATCTGTATGTGTGTGTGTGTGTGTATGTATGTATGTGTGTCCGTCCGCAAAATGAAGTGAGTGAGAAGGAAGCTCATGGGATAAACAAACCGCTAACAAATCGGGTAGCTTACAGGATTTGAGATATCAATGTTTTGTAGCAGGATAGTTGTGATAACACTCTTAGGGCTATATAAACACCTGCTTAGCACACTTCCGTTCATTCCACATGGTGCTGCAGTGGCAGCTGGAGGGCAGTGGAGAGAGGAAGGGAGGATGAGGAAGGGAAGCGAAAAATCTACCGTCATATCATGATTGTGTCCCTTCTACTGTATGAAACACCATTGTGTTGCATACGCGTCACTTCCAGGAGGTGTTGGTGTCACAGGAGGAAGGGACCATAGCGGAGGATAGAAAGCTTGCGCAGGAAAGGAAGGTCCCGGCGGTTGACGGGGGACTAATCTGGTTAAATGTGTAAAAAAGTGCAGAGTCAAAAGTGCATTGAAGAGTCCCTAGAAGAGAAAAGGGACGTCTGAAGCGTGCATCGGGGGGGGGGGGTAGGGGTTCTATTCACATGCTCACTAGAAATGTGGAGGCCAAACTTGAAGTGTTTACCAACCAAACCACCAAAGTTACCAGTAATCTAGCTTTACTTTCAGCTGGTGGAATTCTACATGTATAGGTTGTTCTTTGGTTTGTAGTAAATAATCCTGCAACATTCAAGCATAATGATATGCAATCGCAAACAAAAACTGTTGTGCACCACCCTTGGCTTTTCTGCGCTACCCAGCATTTAGTACGCTCAACTTCAATTTCAGCACTTTATGGTACCACCTCCTATGCGAACAAAAAATATTCGGAGGTCCTCATGAAAATCGAAACGAAAATCATGAGACGACGTTTTGAGCCATGCCCCCCTTTTCAGGTCTACGAAATCATGAATACTTTTAGTGCGTCAGTTAAAGAACCACAGCAATAAATCTATACGAGATGCCATACGAATTATATTAACAATAGAACAATTGCGGCACATTGGCCAACTTTTTGTAGACCTAAAGAAGGATTTATAGTCTGAGACACTTCTTCATGAAGTTTTCGAAGTTTCGTTCTCGATTCACAAAAAGGATTTCTCACTAATAACTTAGCTCTAGAAGAAACTCAAATCTTATTTGTTTAATCTTCGTCTACTCTAATAAAATGTTGTGTCACCATAATCTAAGTCCAAAATCTTCGAACGGAACTTGTGGGGGGGGGGTGCTTAGGGTACTAGAAGTGTTAGAAGTTCTGCTCGATACGGCGCATATAAATATTCCTTGATTATCCACGATTCTCCTATTATACATTGTGTTACTCCATTGTGCAGGAAATGACGCGCTCTAGTTTCTAGAATATTCCCAACCGGGTTAAAACAGGGAATTTCGTGTCGATTCTGCTATGAGAATGCCTCTTTTCAGGTTTTGACATGTCAAGTTCGGGCACGCACCTGTTCCGAGCGGCGTCCTGTGCAGATCATTTCCTGCTCGAGGACGGTTGCTCCTCGGGCGCTTCTCTTTTTATACTACTGCTTCGGTAGTACCACCTTAAGTTTTTTCTATATTTCACATATTGATCGTGAACATTCTCTCGAGCCGAGGAGTAATAGTGACCTTTGAAAACTGGTTGATCCTTCGGAGCAGTGGGGTCTGGTCTATTGAATGCATTTGTTCATTTATAATTCAAGTGAAGGCGCTCATGATGTTAGGGGGGTATTCAGGTGAGTGATCTGCTTGCATTACTTGCTTGATCTACTTGCTTGACGAAACCTTAGGAAGGGAAAGGCTACTCAGTAGGATGGACAAGGGTCTATTCCAGTTAGGGGGGGGGGCATCATGGTGCGGTGACTCCCAAAAAGCTACGGTAACTCTGAGCCAGGGGGAGTGTAGCCAGCCTAGGGGGGTGGGGGTGAGGGCAGTCACTTGACATGCGTGAGAAGCTGGAATGTTCGAGTTTACATTAGCTCGCCGAGAAACTGCATCATGATGCCCCCCTAACTGGAATAGACCCTGAGCAATTGGCACCTAGGCTTTCCTTCCATCTCCAGGGCTTCATTCTAGTGTCACCGTGTTCAGCCCTGTTTTGAATTTACCACCCCCCCCCTAAGGACATGAGCGCCTAAGTAAAATTTTCTTCCATATTCGTATCTTGGATGCAGCTAGTACACATACATCATGCTACTGCTGATTTTTGAACGAAAAAATAATGTCTATTAAGGCCGCGTTCATAGTTCGCGACTCGGGAGATTAGGATAGTAGGCGACAGGATATTAGGATAGTAGTAGAGTAGGAGATTGCGCTGACAAGATTGGATACGTATCGATTGAAATCGCTGGAGAGTAGTAGATTGGGCGACTTCAAGCGAATAGATCAATACATATCTAATCTTGTCAGCGCACAACACAGATCTGCGGCGAATTTTGATGGTGCGACGAAAATTTTCAAATTTGGCTTGATACACCACGAATATCTGAATTCTCAGCTAAATTCTATCCGCTCCATCATCGACGGCTTTCAACCTCTTTTTCTTCGTCAACCATTATCCTCTTTTTCCCGGTCTCCGGACTGCTTCCGGACAATAAATCTCGTGGCAAACTCCGCCTACTTCGGTGCGTGCCCCGCCCACCAATAGCATTTGACCCTCCTTCGCCGATCTCTACCCCTTTTACGCCGGTCTCTGACCTCGTGAATTAAATGGCGGCACTTAGGCAACTCGCCCACTAATTGACGCCTTTTCCCTCGCCAACCTCTAACCCCGTTTTCACCTATCTCTAGGACTTCTTGGAGCCGAGTTATGAATTTTCGTCGCAAACTCCGCCCACTTTGATTCAAGTATCCGCCCACCGATGAGTTGGCCTCTACTCCTCCCCCACCTCCATCCACCTTTTCCCGGCCTCCGGGACTTCTTGGAGCCGAGTTATGAATTTTCGTCGCAAACTCCGCCCACTTTGGTCAAGCCCCGCCCACCGATGACAGCTGGCCTCCACTCCTCTACACCTCTATCCACCTTTTTCCGGCTCTTTAAGACTTCCCCGACCCGAATTATGAGGACTTGTAGAAAATGCTGTACACTTCAGAGCGCGCCCCGCCCATTCTGGGCGGGCCTCCGCCCACGTCATGTATGCAGGAAACACCTTAGACATTGCTCCCTTACACCAAATTGTTTTCTGCTCTGTAGGCTTTCTCCCAACCGAGTTATGAAATTTTTCATAAAGCACTGCTTTTTTGGAGAACGCCCCGCCCACCGGGGGTGGGTCTCCCTAATTCGATGTGACTTACCAATGCACACCTTTACCCACTTTTTGGCCCAGTTTCGAGGTCGTTTTGTCACTGAAATCGAAATCTTGGTCTTCGGTACAGTTCATTTCGACGCACGCCACGCCCTCTGTGGGCGGGGCTCCGCTTAGCTGATGTGTGTTTTGTACTTCGTGAGACCTTGCCCACCCATCCCACACTTGACCCGGTCCCTCCAGGCGGATCCCGAGGAGCTAGGGAATTTCGTGACAGACATACAGAACGACAGACGAAGCGCTTTATAGTAAGTAGAATCTTGTCAGCGCACTATCCTAATCTACTACTATCCTAATCTACTACTATCCTAATCTCCCGTCAATACATATGTTTTTCATTGTCGCGTACTATCCTAATCTCCGGAGTCGCGAACTATGAACGCGGCCTAATATGTCAAAAAGAATGTACATCAGTCGCATGTTATTAGCTGTATGAAGGTTTACCAAACTCTGATGTTCTTGATCGACCACTATCGGGATTTTCTTCTTCTTATATGGATAATTGTTCCATCTTCATTCCTTGTTATATTACTCGTGCTCTGAAGAAAGGTGGCGCGTGAACAGAAAGGCCGGCGTTAGGCTTTGCGAATCGAGGATTCGCAAAGTCTGACATCTGCCAAATAAGGCTTGCAAGACTTGCAAACCCATTGATTTCCGTATACCCCTCCTAGACTAACTCGCTTTTCACTATGACACCAATTTGAAAGCCGTACAACCGGATCGATACCTTGCAAACGCATACGTAGCACTTGAGATGAAGTGATCCCACATTTGCGGCTATCCGACAGGAAACCCGTAGTTCGGCAAGATGGCAGAGTCAGCGGAGTCGCACGCGTACTGTAGTGGTT